TGCTCTCTGCCTGGGAGTCGAACCCAGCTTTCGCGCGGTCTTCACATGAATGACAGGCGCGTGTACTAACCGATATACTAGCAAAGAAGACGAATGTTGGTTTGTAGTAGAATATAAAGTCCCATTAAAAGATAGAGAAAGCTGACACATATTGTCAATCGAAGGTCCCATGGGTAGTAATGCCTCAGACTCGGAAACCTAACACGTAGTATATCGATATAATACTCATGGAGGCTGTCGAAATCACCCTGAAGCTTATTAAATAGGGTATAACGAAGCCATCTTGAATGCCAATTGATCTATAACTCGATGGCGAAACTCGTTACTTGCGGCAAATATGCACCTGCCGCGAGATCTAATATGTAGACATCGTCAAAGGCACTGCCTCCGTCATATCCACCAAAGAGAAACAGCCGACTATCGGCGAGGATTGACGCGTGGTATCCGCGGCCGCTGGGAGGGTTCCCATGTGCGATGCGCGGCTCGTAAGTAAGGGAAACTGCGCGAGAAAAGTCTGAGCAAAAGGTAAGACAAGTAAAGGAAAAAGGAAAACGCACCGAGGTTGAAAGGAAGAACTTCAGAGCAGTATTCCTCGCCGTTGAAGCCGCCAGTAATGAGCAGGAACGACCCGACCTGCGTTGCGCTGTGTGCTATCCGCTTGTACTTGTTCGTCGAGAGTTGAATCTGGCTCCAATGGTGTGTCTCTACATAAAGATTAGATTTCAGTCCCGTCGCTCGGGAAGAGAACGAATACCAAGATCAAGACACCACACGTCAGTAAAGAAATCCTTCCCATCGCTCCCACCAACGACCACCATCAAGTTCCTGATAAGATTCGCCGTATGGTACCCGCGGTTCTTCGGCGTCCTCCCAGTCGTCTGCACCTGTTCCCACTTCATCTTGCTGAACGACGACACATCGAGCGTCCACACGTCGTTGAGGGCGTGCAGGCCTGTCCCTCCGCCAAAGACCCAGATCTTATGATCGTGCAAGACAGCGGTGTGTGCACGTCGTGGTGTCGGGCACGGTCCGACGATGGTAGGGGTCGTCCAGTGCCGTGTCGTGGTGTCGAAGACATACACGTCATTAAAGTATCGCATTCCGAAGCCTCCGCCAATCACGATGAGCTTGCGGTCAATTAGGGTCGTTGTATGAGCACGAAAGGGCGGAGGGATGCTGCCTGTCGATTCTCGAATTGTCCATTGCATAGTTTCTGAGAAACACGTTTGGCAAATTGTCTAGTAATTCAATTAGAGCTACGCACCTGTATCGAAACAGTGCATGTCCTTCATATCCTTATTCGAATCCTTGTCGTCGATCCCTCCTACTAGCCATGCGATATTGTCCACTAGTGTCATCGTATGTGCGCGCATCGTACGTTGAGGGACCGCGCCATAAACTGGAGCACGACTCCAATGCATGGCAGTGCATGGCACAGATTCCGCATTCTTATCGTGCGGCAACGTTGGGATAGTCTTGTACTTCGTTCCATACGATGATATAGGTGGTTTTCTAACCTTCGAGGCACTCGAAGTCGTGGTCGAAATCGATGAAGACGCCCGCTTCACTGCACCTGAGACATTACCACCGCTAGTCACGGTACTTTCGCTGGAAGATTGACCAAGAGTCCTGATGCTTGGAGTACGCGACTTGGAAGAACTTGGACGCGCAGCTGCTGCTGGTATAGAATTCGGGCTCAACATCGTGGGCGTCATGGATCCCTCTTCAGGAACGTCGCTCAGACTGCGAGAAAGGCTGCTCATGGGTCGTGAATGCAAGAGAGTTAATTTCAATCTGCCGTTATGACAAGAAGTGATCGCACGTGGTGGTAATTGATGAAAGAGTTTGGAGTGGTTGACTTTGTACTTTTGATCATTCCTTCTGATATCGACGTGCTCGACAACTGCAGCAATATTCCAGTGTTAATAAGCTATGCATCCAGGACAAGAAATGTCGGGCCTCTGCAATCACATTCTCGTTCGTTAATGCGAAGACTCATGTCGCTTTTCTGAGCTGCCAATGTTGAAGATGCTTCTTTGCTTCATCGGTGGTCGGTCCTACAAATTGCTATAGAGACACTAGGACATCTAACGTGGCCAAATACATACAAGGAACGCTGATACTCGGCTTGTGGGGTGAAATCTGGAAAAGGAGAGAGGGTACTATGATTTTGAAGTGCAAGAGGGTACTGGCCCAGATGCACTACTCGCAATCCTTATTGATCCAGCATTTTCCGATAATGCATAAAGCCTACAACGCTTGTGCCTTTGCCCAACTTCAATCTCGTACAATGTTCGCCTCTTGTCCTGGGTCGAGACGACACTAGCCTCCATACTCTGTTTTGTGGGATCACTGTCACTGCATTCCCATCGTACTTTGGTTCTATGTATTGGTATGCAACCATCCGGATATTACCATTAGACAAAGGACGTCACTACTTGCTAGGCATCCATCCCCATTCACGGGTGCTATTTTTGTACCTGTTATCCGACCCCTCTACAACTATAACCTATTCAGCTCTCGATGTCGATTTTTCTTACTCATCTTGACACTCCTAATGGATCTGCTCTGGAATTTGATATATAGTTTGCGAGGAAACGCGCAAAGTCATCAATTGAGAACCACTGCTTGCTATTCAAGCTCCTCGAAGGCGCTATCGACGAGAATGGAATTGAGGTCGAATCATGATATTCTCAGAGTGGCTTCACCAGAACGATGCGTAGACAACGAATTTCAAACGAGTGTGGTCAATACATGATACTAAGTCCTCCATCCACTTCCGCCAGTCCTAAATCCAAAGCCAATGACCTCATCCAATTGCATCAGAATATGCCCAAAGCCAAGAAGGACAACGCTCCAAGCAGGAGAACATTCGAATTTGCCAAGGATCCCGCCGCGTTGGTTGTGGTCATAGCTGCTGGGCTAGTCTGCGTGGCTGAGCTAGTAGGCTGGACAGTTTGGCTGGCGGCGCCACTCGCCACGGAAGTAGGCGTATCAGACGGGCTCGAAGAAGACGCAGGGGGCGAGGTGGAGCCTTTCTTGGCGTTCTCGACGAAAGCAGCAGCTGTCTGAGTGCTAGAAGGGTTGACAGCGAGCACAGCCCCTTGGCTGCACAGCCCCCCTGCTTCGTCGAAAAACCACTGCGGGTCTGTACTATTCACGGTAACGGTATAGGTTGGAAGACCAGGTGCATCGACACTCAGGGAGTCTGATACCTGGATTTCAAAGATTTCAAAGGGAGAGAAAAAAATAAGGGTTCTGCTCGTTTATATGGTCATGGGGAACTTTACCGTTTGAACTCCAGTGTTGATGCCTCCCTCAACGCCCACACATGGATTCTCAAATGTCGATTCTAAATTTGAGTAAGGAAAGCAGAAGTATTTCAGTAAATAAATTATAAATAGAACGAGAGATACAAAGACCCACGAACGACACTGTGCTGACCGCTCCGGAACTCCCAGACGATAGTATCACCCACAATAGGGTGAATTACAGAAGGGTCAAACCCCAAGCCCTTCCTTCTAGAGTTTCTGTTCAGTTGTATGTCCAATAGCGTTAATAAAGCAAGACGGACCCAGTCGTTTCGTCCTTTCCTACTCCAACAAGATATTGTGTTCCCAGAACGAGAGGAAATGAGCTGGCTGCAGCAAAAACAATGATAGAGGTGCACTTCATAAGGTTTAGATTATAAGGATAAGCAAAGGAAAACTGGTATAAGAGACTGGTATACTAGATGAAAAGATTGGGATGAAGGCTTCTAAGGCTCAGACCGGCCGGATTTCTCCGAGATTCATGTGAAGGTCCGTAGCACTGGAGCCCGTTGAACCCATTGCCTCGTCAATGGCTTCCAACAGCTCCACCATCCTACAATAATAGACCTCTTCCAACTTGGCGGATCCCTCAGCCGTTGAGTACGGCGTGCATACTGTTACCACTGGTGAATGCAGTGGGTACACTTAGACGGTAAAACAACAGGCCCAGGACTCGAACCAGGAATCTTCAGCTCAATATTACACCGGAAACTGACGCGTTAACCATTACGCTAACCCGCCCACTATTTATCGGTTTTACAAGAGAAACAGACTTAAATGAGTAATTGTCACTATACGAGAGGCCTACGACAGACTACAGTCCAAAGTCCACCAAGACACAAGTAACAACTGCCCAAAAGGCCTTATCAACTCTTGAAAATAGCTAATAATTATGCTCCGTCCTGTTCCACAACTGATCACATGTAGCTGGATAAGGGGAAGCATTTGGCACGCCATATATATCGGTGGCGCAATATGCATCAACCTTCGCACTTTCCCACATTGATCACGGGTAGGTTAGTCGCAGTACATACCATCTTCGGGATCATCTTCAAAACAGAAATGAATCGTTTGAGGAGTCCTGACGCGAAGCTGCCCTCATCTCGATAGCCATCCTTTGTAGCACTTTCCTCTGGCACGGCCTCACATAAACACGCTCATCCACGTTCCTAAATAGAAATGTAGTATCTCGTGAAAGTTTCCCGAACGATACCTGCTTCGTAACTGTTACTTACCTCAGCAGTCGTCCCTGGTGACAGAACACGTTGTCAGATTGTTGAGCTCTGATCGGCCGGTCCCGGTCAATGGAACCAGGCGCGACATGCGGTTATGCGAGCCAGTGACTGTAAAATGATGGTGGAGCATAGCGACATCTTTGTTGCACGACGACGAACAGGTAGGTCTTCAAGCTTCAAGCAACGAGGTATCGCACATATGTACATACATATGTATCACTTCTCAAATCAACCAGTATCAAACTCGGATCAACCTGCACGTACATAGACCGAAGCACCGATCCCACAACGGCCAGACTCTTCTTGATAAAAACATTGCACCAAAGTAGGCGGAAGCCAGCATGTGCTTTGAGGATGGTAACCGAAGATTACATCTCAATTTTAGCCTTTAGGCGGGTTGCATTGGGCTTGGAGAGCGTGCATACGATTGAAGTAGGTTTGGCCAGGCCAGGTCAATGCAGCCGGGATTCGTCTGGATTTGTTGGGAATACAGGAGTATCAAGGAAAATCGAGCGTGACCGTTGCAGGACATAGTTGCCTCGAGATGCATAGTCTTTCAAACGTGATATATAGGCTTCGTGGCACTTTCAAGGTTGGGAGCGGGCAAGGTTCACCGCAGCCATAATTACCCCAAAGAGGGATTGGAGTTGAACTCCGAATGATAAATATAGGCGCACAAAATGCAGTCAAATGCAATGGAGTAGTACATATATGTAAGTACAGTAGCATCGACATCAACCGTCTTGATGGTGACTGATATGTCTTGAGAGTTGTTTGTTGGTTGACCCCTTCGGACGAAAGGAGATATGGTTGTCATAGCTGGTATGGGTTATAAATAGCCAACCTCGATGGCAACAGTGAATAAAAAACTGTATGAATACAAAAAAAAACATTCTTGTATCGTATGTTTGAGCTATTGTAAAGCTCTCGACGAGGCCACAGTAAGCCACTCAAACGGATAAGAGAGGGGGAACAGGGGGGATAATACCGCCAAAGTCATTGCCGAAATCAGCCGGATGTTGTGAGGGATGGACATGGACAGACATGGCCCATGTGGGTTTATAAGGTACATACAAGAACGATTGATATCGTTCATTCTTTTCTCCCTTTCTTCCCCGTCTCTGCTCTGCCTGTGGCTGTCGCCTAGCGCGCTCCTAAGACTACGAACGCCCGACACTGGTGTCGTTTTCTGCTCTCGCTAACTACTTTGAAAGTGCTCAGCCTCAAAGCAAATTCCATTCCTTTTTCACTGAAATCGCCCTCTTTTAACGAAATGCACTCCCGATCTTTCTTCGTGGCTTTCCTTACTCTCGCTCTTTCTTCTTTCACCGCGCAGGCTGCACCGGCACCTAATCATCCTGGCAATGAATGTGCAGTAAGTTCAAATTCTTTGTTCCTGGAGCGCAAGTGATTGATTAATCATGAATAGGCTGGTTCAGTTCAGACCGTTCATCACACTGTGACTGTTACCGCAGGCTCAGCAACGTCGACCTCCAGCAGCAGCAGCACCAACAACAACAACCAGAGCAATAACGGAAGCAGCACCAACAACCAAAGTAGCACCAACAACCAAGGCAGCACCACGACCTCGTCCGCATCCAGTGCCGCGACAAGTACCATCAACAAGGGTAACCAGTCCAGCACCAACAACAACAGTGAGTTCCTATTGAATGTTCGTGTCATCAAGCCTTTACCGTTTATCAGCTCTGCTGCCGCATCCTCCACCGCGTCTGCTAGCGTTAGCGCATCGGCATCGGTCTCTGCATCTTCCGTTGCCGCGTCTGCGTCTGTAACTAGCGCAGCCGCGAGCGTTTCTGCGTCTGCGTCTGGCACCGTTGTATCTGCGTCCGCCACTGGAAAGGCCGCAACCACGAGCAAGGCCGCTGCCTCTACGTCAGCTTCCGCTTCCACTTCCGCTGCCACTGGCAAAGCAACTGCAACCTCCAAGGCATCCGCAGCCTCCTCCACGGCTGCTGCGACCTCGTCGGCAAAGGCTGCTGCTGCGTCAGATGCTGCTAAGGCAGACAAGTCCGACAACACCAAGGCAGACACGAAAGCCACTAGCGACGCTTCTTCCAAGAATGCTCGCCGAGAGCTCAAGAGTCGCCGTCGTTGGAACATCAGGAAGTGAACTTCCTCTGGCTCCACCCCTCTCTGTCCACCTGTACGGTGACGGATCTTCGGCAAGCCGCCTGAATCAAGTTGCATCAAGGGCTTTCTTCTCCATACAACACACTTACTCCGCGCAGGCTCGATTGCTTTGCGCTTTTTTCATTATTCCTTTTGGGTCGTTTGAGGGTATTCCTGTTCTTGCTTCCCCAACGATGTTCTTTTCGCTTTGAGGTTTACGTTAATTCCTAGTTTAGTGCGTCTTGTAGTCTTTTTGTTCATCACACCCACCCAAGAGCAGAGCAATTCATTCGGGATCGGGAAAACTACCTGCGTCTGATTTCCATATCACAAAATTTGCAAGATGAGGTATGTATTTCTATCGTCATGATAATCTCGATACTCCATTCAATATCGTAAACGATATTTGGTCAAAGGCCGAAGAAGTTCGCGATTATAACTTTTGTTTGCAGAAAGTTCTCAGTAGATGAAACGGTTCAAATAAACTTCGAGTAATGTGTGTTCTATTTGAAGCCTCTCCATAGATATCGTTAATTTAATTAATAATTGTGACACGTTAGTTTGAACTGTCCATCTAATCGCCGAGCGTTTTTACAGGCAGCTCAAGATGGGCTGTAGTTTCCGGTGGACAAAAGCCTGAGTAGATGCAGGTACATCATCCTTAGTGCTCGCGTTGAATACGCTGACGGTGGCGAAGCAGCCGGGAGAAGTGACGACGGTGGTCTCGTCAGGAAGGAGGGTGGAGCCACAGGTGTGGACATCGGTGGCGTTGGTGGAGGCGTAGATACGGGTGAAGATGAATTTGAAGTCATCGGCGGAGGTGCAGTTGACAGTCGAGGGGTAGTTGACGTTCAAGCTGATGTTGGTGGGGAGGATAGGTCCCGGGTTGTCGAGCAACTGATTGATAAACTTCAAGCTGAGCTTGGTGTAGATCGCGGCAGCGACGGAGGGCGCGCCAGTAGGATCCGACTCCAGGGTGGTGTAGGAAACTTGTGCACCCCCAGCTCCGGAGAAAGCAACAGAAGGGATGCCTTCCAAAGCAGCCTCAGAGGCAGCACCACTGTTCTTTTTGTCAAAAAAAAGGAACCAATCAGGTAAACACGTACACAGTTCCAGAGAGTGTGACAATCCAGCCTATATTGTCTAAGATGTTCATATCAGCGTTGCACAAAATGCAAAATGTTTGGAGATGGAAAATACTGACTTCCGATGTTGTTGCCAGCAAACACGAGATCGGGCTTCGATCCCATTAGCTTGGGAGATAGAGTCTGGATGCCGTGACGGACTGAATCGACCCTGTGTGAGATGGTGAGATCCTCAGTCAACTTGAAAAAGAACCTTCAATTTGGGAGGTGAAAAACGTACGGGAACGCGTTGACATAGTTGAGATAAGCTGAGGGTGAATGATGATGAGTGAACAGGGACACGACGAGATAGATGAAAAGCATACGATCTGACGCGTTGAAGCCCACAGCAGGAGAACCTGTCGGGCACGAGTCGAATTCGCAGGGCTGTGTCAAGACAACGGGAACTGCAGTCGAAGAGCCTGTTCCCGATTTGTTGTCGGCCGGGGCAGATAATACGACCTGGGATGCACGGTGTGAGTGGTGGATCGTATATTCGTAAATGTGTGGAACTTACCTCATAACCAGCTTCTTTCAACGCCCTGTATTCTGATCTGATCTGCGCTACCGCCCAACCATCGTCGTTGGTAAGAATGATCTTGGTTGCAACCTTTTTGCCATTGGAATGATTGACGTGTTGGTTGGAATCCTGTTTAGAATGAGAAGACGACTGTGAGTGTTGTTCCGCCTCGACCGCGCGCCCGAGAGCAGCGGGAACACAAAGGAGAGCCAGAAGAGAGTACGAGCAACGCATGATGAGACAGGTACAGGGCAGATGTGTACAGAAAAATGTTCATCATCCTTTTATTAGACATGGCCGTTGACGTGAACGTGCGTAAAATTTGGAGAACACGGAGGGCAACAGGGGGGTTCAGGATTTCATGCACACGAGCAGTACACGAACGTTCACTGTTTCAAGAATAAGCGAGTAGATTGAAACGGGTTCTCATTTCCTCCACGCAGCGGAGGCAATTCCCTGGTTCCTGTTCGGTTCGGCTTGAGGACCATTCGGATCACGGCGATCAT